TTACAAACAATATAAATGTCATTAGAGTATAGTAGATATGTTTTTATGTTTGATAGATTCTTAAGAGAATAGTTTACCCAGAGATAAAAATGTGATCAAAATGTACTCACCCTCAGGCCATCCAAGATGCAGATGAGTTTGTTTGTTTATTGAAAGGGATTTGGAGAAATTTAGCATTACATCACTTGCTCATCAATGGATTCTCTGCAGTGAATGGGTGCCGTCAGAATGAGAGTCCAAACAGCTGATAAAAACATCACAATAATCTACAAGTAATCCAGTCCATCAATTAACATCTTGTGAAGCGAAATGCTGTGTTTGTAATAAATCCATCATTAACACATTTCTAACTTTAAACCATTGCTTATGACTAAAATACGAGTCCTCTTTCCAATATATTTCTTTCTCCAGTGAAGTCGTCTCCTTTACAATATATTTCTTTCTCCAGTGAAGAAGTCGTCTCGTCTGAGTCAGGAATCAGAAATATGCACAGATCAAGCACTGTTTACAAAATTATGATGTGAGAGGACAACAGGTGATGGACTTTTTCAGTGTGTGAAGTGTTTTTGACTCATATTTTGACCAGAATCAACGGTTTGAAGTTAAAACACCTTAATGATTGATCTGTTTATTACAAACACAGAGATTTTTGCTTCAAAAGACATTAACTGATGGACTGGAGTGGTGTGGATTACTTGTGGATTATTGTGATGTTTTTATCAGCTGTTTGGACTCTTATTCTGATGGCACCCATTCGCTGCAGAGGATCTATTGTTGAGCAAACGATGTACTACAGCAATGCTCCAAATCTGTTCTGAAATAAGTTTGTCTACTTCTTGGATGGCCCAAGGGTGAGTACATTTTCAGCAAGTTTGTGACATGTGACTTCATCAAAGAGTGCCTTTTTTGGAGGAGCTGGGTTGTAGTCCTGTGAATTAAGTCAAATGCTGCCCTACTTTCAGTTGAAGCCCTCTTTTAACCCCCTACTGTGCACCTATATCGCATATGCAGTGATTCAGAGGGTGTAGTAGCAAGAAGTACAGATGCCCTGTGCAACAACACGTACTAGTGAGGTTATATTTAACTGACTTCAGAAAGCTGACACTCTGGATGTTTTCCATATCTCCACTCACAAATGCTTAAGGTTCTGTGCCAAAACAAGACTAGATCTGTAAGCATGTGTCTGGATTGGGAATAACAGCGCAATTACACCTTCAAACAAGCTTATTTTCATGAGTGATTGCACAGAGGTTTGTGATTTAGGACTTTAGAGTATAGGAAAGCTGTCTGTGTGTTCAGCAGGTGTAATGCTGCCATGCTGGGCACTGATTGCGTTTATGTATGTAGGGAAAATGATCCAATTAAACATACCTCATGCCCACTTGAATATGAAACAAAAGTTTGGGGTCAGTATATAATTTTTTTAAATGTTTTTGAAAGAAGTCTCTTATATGCCCACCAAGGTTATTTGTTCAAAAATACAATAAAAACGTACAATTATGAAATAGTATTACAATTTATATGAACTATTTAGTATTGAATATATTTTAAAATGTAAATTCCTGTGATGCAACACTGAATTTTCAGCATCATTACTCCAGTCTTCAATGTCACACGATCCTTCAGAAATCATTGTAAAATGCTTAGTGCTTAAGAAACATTTTAAATCAGTTGTTCTGTTTTTCTTTCAAATATATTCTTTAAAGTA